TGCAGTATTGCCTGGATTTAAGAATTTCATTGATACTGTTCATTCTGTATTGTAATACATTAATTGTAAGTGGAATATTTGGTTTGTTTTTCTGTTTTAACGAACATTTGTGTCTTTATTTGTGTTTATGCAGTTGTGTTGTAATACACTTTATGTACCGATGTACACCATTATAACCAAAATAACACACAAACTCTTTAAATGACCCAGCTAGGAAAAAATAGGTAATGTAATTATGTGAACTTTTTGGTTTTATCTCTCTCACAATTGTGTTCTCAATTTTGTTGCATCTGTTAAATACCAAACCAACCCTTGTACTGTTTAAGTGCTAGACAGTTTTTTAATTGTTCTGCAGCTATTCATGTACTTCAACTCTGTTATCACCAGTTGCTAATAATATCTCCTTAGTAGAATAGATGAAGTAGTTTTCATTTATGGTGAGTAAAATCTAGCTTCTCTCAGATTGGCCTATGTGCTCATTGTAATTTATAACTTTGCAAGCCCGTACTGTATCATGCATTACGTGGAGTGATCAGACCTCTGTTCTCTGTTCATTGGAATTGAACTTCATGCAGAAAATGCAAATTTTTAATATTCATTATCCTTAAGCACTTGTATCCTTGGTGGGGACTATAATGAAACTTGGATAATATCCATCCACAAACAAGGACTTTTTTTTCTTAGGAGTGTTATTTCAAAATGAAGTCTAGATCCCCATCTCTTAATTAATTCTCTGTTGCTCTCTTGACAACCAGTAGAAAGAAAAGCTGAAAAGGATGTACAGTTTTGCCCTGCTAATTTATAACAGACTCAAACAGTTTTGGTGGTTATGAGCCCCAACACTGAGCCCTGTGGTACACCATGCAGAGGGAGAATGCACTTTCAAAGACATTGGCTGTAAAATTTCAGAAGGATTGTGAAAAGATGTTGAGAACTTATCTTAAAACCTATCAAAAGGAATTTTGAGGTCCTGTTCCAAAAATATTGGGGGGAAAAAAAAGTTAATTTGGTGTCTACACAAACTTGGCTTAATCCACCAGGTAAACCTGTTTTATCTTAAGCAGGATCAAAACATCTTTGTTTTTGTTGACTTGCATCTTAAAACATTTGAACATATCCTTTCTTAATTTATTCAAGACATAGCTGATGTTTCACCCTTTGTAATTCTTTCCAGAACATGCAGAGAAGTTATAATTAAAATATATTTTTTTTCTTTCTATACCAACATCCCACATAATCATGGTTTTGAAGCTGAACTGTATTATTTAGAGAGATCTAGTAATCCACTGGTGCGATTTCTACAATCAATTTTGTCATGGTTGATTATTTGAAAATAATTATCTTCCAATTCAAGCGACTAAGACAAGTACGTAAATTGTCTTAGCATGGCCCCTAATTTAAACTTTCTTCCTATTTAGGAAAATTTGTGCTTAATAATAATTCCTTTAGTAATATTGAGACTTCTCAAAATATACAACAAAACCTGACTAGATGTTGCCTTAATTATAATATTGTGATCTTAAGTGAGCCCAACGGGGGAAGCTGGAATGAATACTTTCTTTACCATCTTTCCTTACATGTTATGCTTATGGACCTTTCACCTGGTTTAAAATGGTATCTGTTGTAGTTTTGTATCTAATAATTGACTTGATAGAATTATTCTGAAATGTATTTGATTACTTCTTTTAGTGCAAAACCCACAGAAATATGTTATTAAAAGCAAATTGCTTTATGTTCTTCATTGTTAATTGTCTGTTATAATTACACACATTATACCATTTTTATAGCCTTGGCATACCTTACACATAAAAGACTGTGCTACATCTCAGGTGATGCGTCTTATAACATGTCCTTGCAGCTTATTGTATATTGATGAAAAACAAGAAACAACTGAAAACTGAAATAAATGAACATCGGTGCAATTTGAAGAAAGGATCCTAACTGTTATTGCAAGGCATTGAGTGACAGTTGCTCTGCTTTATTTTTTAGATTGAACATTTACTCTGTAGCAGTGGTCATATTGATGTGATGTTCAGTAAAGGGAAGTACATTGGGTATATTTTTAAATATTGTTTCCTGGAAGCTTAAGTGAGGAATTGCACAGTATCAAAGTAGGTCTATGTAGTTTTAGGGATTCTTGTATTATTGAATGTAGGGAGAGTCTAAATGTTCATAATTGTAAATCAGAATTGGTTTTTTTTTGTCATTGGATTGTAATTAATCTAACCATGTCTGTTCTCTTCTGTTTAATTAAAATTCAAGATGTGATATTTTATTGGTAGTTCTGTAGAAGCAAATCCCAATTGGTGATGTTGAATCCCTTTTAATTAACTTAGAATGAAAATGTATGGATGTCGTTCTATTTACACGTTCCTTATATTGCAACATGTTAAATAACATGAAATTGGATGAATTGCTCAAGATTGTTCAGACTCTTTGGTTTGTGAATTGTTTTCTTGAGCTTTAATCTAAAACGTACAAATGGATTATGGTCAGGAGGTTGGGATGGCCAGTGGAGAAAGTTTGGTGTGCAGTTAACCACGTCTTTGTCAGTTTCTCTGGAGGCTTTGGATTATTCCTGACATACTGGAATGTCCATTTTTGGCCAAGTTTGAGCTTCTTGGCAGAAGGAATCCAAACCTCTCAGCCTTTGGTTAAACTTGTGTCCTGTTTCTGACAGGGAGACCACTATACTGGTCGCCATAAACTTCTTAATAAAGGACACTCTAGTGGAAGGTGATGGATTTATTGTCTTGAATGTATGACCCCTTTTCTGGAGTTTAAATAATTCTTAATGACAAATATCACTGTAGCCTTTGCAGTGCTAGTATGATTTCAGTATAACATTTTTAGATTTTCTTTTGACAAGACACATTACCTAGTGTGTATCTCATTCTGTTATTCTGTTTCATTGGAGGTAGGAATACATCTGGAACACGGTGTGTTTTTGGATGAAAATTGAGATTTCTAGCAAGAAAAAAGGTGTATGAAATAGTCATTTGTATTGTATTCTATAAATATTTGTTATATATCTGTATTATATTTACATATCTGTATTCTATAAATATTTTAAGGATCGTAATACCTTGTCGAAGGTAGTTTGAATTAACTATAACGGAGTTTTCCCTTTTGTAATAACGTGTAAGTAAAGGAAGCAATTCAGAAAAAATGGTAATATGACAAAATAGTCACATGAAAATTCAAAAGCATCACGCTCAAAAGGTTCGTGTTTCTGTTCAGTTTGCCCATTGTGTGAAAAGATTAAAATGACTGAATCTTGACCAGGAAACTGTTCTGTGAAATCCACAAATCCTGTCTGCCGTACTGCATATGCCCATGTTTTGTTTTGTGGTAATGACTAGCTGTGGGCTTCCTTCTGAGCTGAGCTTCGGGGATTATATTTTAGCAGGCCGCTGTTTCGAGCAGCCTGCTGTGTGCCACATGCTGTTTATATTCGCCGCTGATTGTATCTGACCCTCGTTTACAGGCACTGTTAAAATTACTGTCTGGTCTGTGTCCTATTTGGAAGTGGGGGGGCGGGGAGCTGTTGCAGATGAGGATTTGCAAGCCGCGCTTTTGCGAACTGACATGAAAAGGCTCTTTCTGTGCCGTTTCCTGCGTACCGTACGGTTCAGCACGCCGGCCCGCTCTCTGTGCCTGGAGTGCTGCACGAAGGCTTTCAGCAGCTTCCGTTTGAAACGGCTCAGCAGGCCTGGGGCTGTACCTGCTCTCTTCCTCCCTGCCGCAGGCGGTGTCGGCGTGCTGGGCAGCTGAGGCAGCTCGAGGTGCTCCTGTTCCCTGCGACACACGGCCACAGGCTGTGCCAGGCTGCTGGGCAGCTGAGGCGCAGCGCTGCCTGCTTCACTACAGCAGCCCCAAAGACGCTTAGTGTGGTACCGCCTGCCCTTTTTTTATCAGGATACAAGAAAGGGGAAAGTCAGTTTTTCCTTTCCTCAGGATTGGATTTTTCTCAAGAACTACTTATTCCTGACAGGTGAACTGGAGAATTAGGAGTTATATGTATTTTCTGTCCTAGAGGGAGATTTCAAACCAAGGCTGAAGTTATTCTCCTGGATGATTCCAGTGCTAGCTGGTAGTTCAGTCCAGGCATTAATTTGTTGTTGTTTTTCTTTAGGTTTAAACAAAATGTCTGCTGGTTTCTCACTGAACTGTCCAACTTTGGGAAGCTTTTTGAACAAGATTTTCCTCCTTCTGGTTTTAAAGGCCAGGCATAGCCTCCTTAAAAAGCTCATTTGCTTTGTGGTTTATGAATCTTCATTTCAAAACATTATTTACTTTTGAGTTAAAATTTATATAAATAATTTGAAGTTAATCGGTCTAAATAACTGCCGAGGTCCACCTCTTGTGTGGTTGCATTTAAAATATTGCATTTTTAGTTGTAACACTTCTCTGTATCCCAGCTATTGCAATCTGTCCAGGTTTGTCAGACTGTCAGCTTTTTGTTGAACGAACAAATTATGCTTGATTGAGCCATTGTTATGTTGCAAGAGAAGGTCTACTGGGCAGTAGCTTCCACTCACTTCCCCATGCCCTGGTAGCAGGTAATACTTTCCTTCCTAATACTATTATTATTACTGAGGATTTGCAAGCAGCGCTTTTGCGAACTGACATGCTAACTGGGCGGAGCGGTGGCTCTGTGGCTAAGGATCTGCGCCTGTGGCTGGAAGGCTGTAGGTTCAAATCCGGCAGCCGGCAGAGGAGTCCTACTCCGTTGGGCTCCTGAGCAAGGCCCTTAACCCCAAATGCTCCAGGGGCGCTGTACAATGGCAGATCCTGCGCTCTGGCCCCAGGCTCTCTCCCTGTCTGTGTGTCTCATGGAGAGCAAGCTGGGGTATGCTTGCTAAATTGTAAAGGGTTAATAAAGTAATGTTGTTGTTACTGTTCCTAATTCCTAATACTTTTATTAGGAAGGGTGGGATGATTTATGGGACGGTCTGGGAAGTAGAACTTAAGCCCTTGTTTTGTTTTCTGGCTTCCAGGTGAAAAAGAGAGGCCCAAGATAAATTCGGAGGAGCTGCAGATCAAAAAGGTGAAGAAGAAAAAGAAAAAGAAACACAAAGAGGGCGAGAAGAGAAAGCGGCCCAAGATGTACAGCAGGTCCAGTCAGACGGTGTGCTCGGGGCTCGTGTCGGACGTGCGCGGCCTGGAGTGGAAGCCGGGCAGGGAGGAGCAGGGCGACGTCAAGCCCGCCCCGTGCCTCCTGGAAGGCTGCCGGCCGGAGGACAGGCCTCCGGAAGGCAGCGACCCCGCGTTCGTGTCCGTCAAGGCGCCGCGGGTGCAGACCCAGCTGCCCGGCCTGGACAACCTGGAGTTCCGGCGCTTCATTCACGTGGAGCAGCAGCCCAACGGGGGGGCCTTGGTGGCGCACGCCTACAGCGAAGAGCTTTCCCGCCTGTCTCCTGTGGAGATGCAGAGGTTTGCCGACGAGTTCGTGACGCTGTCCTTCAGCGAGGACGAGAACTGCGCGGCTCACTATGTGATGGGGATCATTCACGGAGCAGCTATGTACCTCCCGGATTTCCTGGAGTACTTTTCTTTCAACTTCCCGAATTCTCCCGTGAAAATGGAGATCCTGGGGAAGAAGGACATCGAGACAACCACCATGTCGAACTTCCACGCTCAGGTAGGCTCGTCTTCCTTCCTCAGGGGTGTAGCCACCTAAGGATGTCTGTGTGCAAAAAGATTGAATCTCTTAAACACCTAGTTTTGAATAATTAAGTGGCAAGTGAAAGAATCTGCCACTTCCTTTCACAGCCTCATCTGAGCATGGCCTTCTTCAGTCTGCCGTAAATAAGTTGTTTAGCCTTCAGTTTTTATTCACAGTGCTTGTGCAACTGTGGAAAGTTTCACTCTTCTCCGTTGCTACATAGAAAATTACTTTTACGACGTTAAAACCTTAAATGTGTACCTTAAAATTGATATAAATCACATGCTGTTTCCAATGAGTTAGTTTTTAAAAAAGCCTTTTTTCTGTTTTTCATCGCTTGTAAGGATGTGATTGTTTGAATTAATTCTTAAGACATTTTTCTCCACTGTGTACTATTTTTGACCCATCTATCAGCCTTTTAAGAACTTCAGCCCATGTACTTGTTAAAATGGGAAATCTGCACTGTCCCACGGTAATCTGTGCACAATTGTGGTGCTCCCTTGCTACCTAAATATTGTAGTTATTTTCATTGTAATCACTACAATTTTTTTAACTTTCAATATTAAGATTTATATGACAATGGTATTAAACATTTTATGTAATAAATCTAATTATTGAATCTATTAATATCCACCTAAAGGTTATTCATAATTGTACTGTCTGGTTCAGCAGCAGGAAACGGGCAGCAGTGCGGACTGATGGTAGGGTCTCTGGACTTGAACATGAGGTGCCATTCGGCCAGTGGAGCTTGTTAATTGTAATCAGGAGGGGGGTGGGTTCAGTGCCCAAGTGGAGCACTACTATGGTTACCCTTGAGCAAGGTACTTTACTCTGGTTGCTCCAGCAAAATGCTGTGTTTTCTAAATGAGTAGCTCTCCGAGTCATTCTTGCAAATACGAGTTTGTTTTCCATTGACTAATCTGGTTTAATAAATGTTTATATGATAAAAATGCCATACTTCTTGTCATTTCACACCATGGGTATTATATCTAAAATGTCTCATAAGCTGATGGTATAAATCATTTTGTATTAACACCTTAATTAAAAACAGATGGCTTAATAATTGTCAGCAGGTGCAGTGTCTGCAGGTAAATTGGTTACTAGCAATGTTAAATCTGAGAGACATGCTTCTTTCTTGGAACAGATCGGCAAAGCAGTGTCAACAAAGTGAGACAGATGAAGGAGAAACAAGTCATTTTGGTCTGTGATTATTGAAGATGACCTGGTTCAGAGATTTCTGCCTTGTATATTTCTCAACCATAGGTAGTGAATTGCTTAGGTCTGTGCAGTGCATTTCATCACAAAGTGCTTCTTTGCAATATTGTACCCACTTGGTTGGCACACAGCATCCCCACTAAACAGCAGACCAGGTGCAGAAGTGAGAAATTGCATTATAAAACTATATTTTATATAGCGCCTTTAAAGGAGGCTTCTCAAAGCACTTTACACAAGATATGCACGATGAGAATATACAGAGGAGACAGTAGATGGTGGTCCTGAATACAGTTGGAGCTCTTCTAAAGAAGAAGGAATGGAGGCTGAATTTGAAGGACTGTAGAGCTGGTGACTCTCTGATATCCTGGAGATAGAGTTGTAGATCTTTGGGGTATAACAGGAGAAGGCCCTGTCACCCATAGAGTGTAGACAGGCTTGGGGGACAGTAAGGAGAGCAGGATTAGAAGAGCGAAGGTTGTGCGGTTGAGAGTAGGGCGATAGTAGCTCAGACAGGTACTGAGGTGCCATGCAGAGCCTTGTACTGTAGGTGAGCATGAGGGTTTTGAAGTCGACATGACTTGACAGGAAGCCAGTGCAAGGACTCCAGGATAGGAGTAATGTGATCACTTGCACTAGACCTGGTCAGGATTCTGGCTGCCGAATTTTGGACATACTGCAGTTTGTTCAAAGTAGATTTAGATACCCCAGCGAGTAGAGCATTACAGTAGTCAATTTTGGAAAACACAAATGTATTGATCATCTTTTCAGCCACAGTTAGTGTTAACATAGGGCATAGTCTAGCGATATTTCTGAGGTGAAAGAAAGATGTTCTTTAGTTGAGGAGGAAATTTGTCAATGTAGAATTTGGCTGTGACACCAGGTTTAGGTCTTCTATAACTTATTTAATGTCTCATCTGAAGTACTGTGCCTTTCGTGATGTCCCCTGTCACCGTATTGGGACATTTGATGGTAGATATGGCCAGCAGCCATATCACTCTGCAACTTACAACTGGCAGCCCACTGAAGCTCAGAAGGTGTGAGCCTGGTCCAGTACCTGGATGTGAGACCTGGGAAAAACTAAGGTTGCTGCTGGAACAGGTGTTAGTGGGGCCAGCAGGTGGCGCTCACCCTGCAGTCCATGTGGGTCCTAATGCCCCAGTATAGTGACGGGGACACTAGACTGTAAACAGGCACCATCCTTTGGATGAGACGTAAAACCGAGGTCCTGACTCTGTATGGTCATTAAAAATCCCAGGACATTTCTCCATAAGAGTGATAATAATTCCTTACACTTATATAGCGCTTTTCTGGACACTGAACTCAAAGCACTTTACAGGTAAATGCTGTAAAGGGGTGTAACCCCTGCGTACTGGCCACATTTTCCCATTGGCCCTTACCAATCATGGCCTCCTAATAATCCCCATCTATGAATTGGCTTCATCACTCTGCTCTCCTCCCCACTGATAGCTGATGTGTGGTGAGCGTTCTGGTGCTCTATGGCTGCTGTTGCATCATCCAGGTGGGGCTGCACATTGGTGGTGGTGGAGGGGAGACCCCATTACCTGTAAAGCACTGTATAAGTGAAAGCTATTATTATTAGAGAGCTACCTACTGGACTACTAATACTTATAGTCCCAGCCAAGTACTGACAAACTCGGCTTCTGAGAGCAAAGGACGTCCAGCTACAAGCTGGTAACACTGCCGTTCTAATCCTTCTCTCACAGGTTTTTGTCTGGGACTCCCCAGAGTTAAAACACTGAGGAAAAGATATCGATATACATCTCAAATATAACATCGCTTTATGAAGGCGCTTCCCATGTATTGCCAGTTTGGGATTCTCAGGAATCTGTTTTACACCCGAATGTCAGTACAAGACCTTGACATGCCGTGTGCTGAAAAAACGAAGAGAAGGTGTTCACACTGTGTTAGAGAGCCAAGTGGTGTTCTTCCTATTGGGCAAACAAAAGCAGGGTGTGAATGGTGGGTGTTTTTTTTTTAATTTTTATTCTATTACAAGTTGAATTTCCTGGCCTCGCTTTAGGGACTGTTCATGCCTAGACTGCTGCTTAGTACAACCAACTGTCATAGAGTGGTTTAAAAATTGTCTTATGTAATATAGAATCTTCTGTACTAAAATGCGATGTAGATTTTCCACATTCAATTTTAAAGAAAGTACATTGGTGAGCACTAGGGGATGTGGAGATTTAATCTCACAAGTGGACTTGATTTTCAGTGAATGCCTTCACAGTGTAGCTCACCATCTGGTCCTTACAGGAGATAAGTTGTCAAAATCCTGGAATCCATGTCTTATTAATAGGTTTATTCTTATTATTTTAAGGGGAACACCAGTATATCTGTAATTTATCAGCATAACAACCATTAAGGATCAAACCGGTTAACTGTCCAATGAACAAATGAATACCAGTTCTTGAACATTTCTCCACTTGCAGTTTAAAGTTTGGCTTAACAACATTACTGTGATGCTATAAGACTAAACTAAAGTTTTACACTGATATGGTGTGTCCCTTTTTCACCTGCTTTTCGTTCTGCAGTGCTCAGAAAATGTCAGGGAATTAAAATGAAAAAGTAATTGAGATTGATTTAATTAAAACTGGTCTTTACTTGGAAGTGTAAAGGGTTTATATCAGTGTTTATTGCGATGCAGTGTTGTAGCAATGTGGAAAAAATGAATACTAATTACTGTATGCGAAGTAATAAATCAACATTGAATATAATTAGCACAGTTTGGAGGGTAATTGGAATCTGGTGGTGAGTTGGGCATCTCTGTCCTGTGTGATGTTCAGAGGCTTTGAGTTTGGTCTTCACAATGCAGGTTAGTGAACCAGAGTCATGCTCCAAGAGTGATGTCAATGTACCTGAGGAAAAGAAAAGGCTTATACTTATCAGGTGGTAAAGGTTACAAAAACATTTCCTCAACATTTGGCAGTCCATGCATCCACTGGAACAGAGTCTCCAACTGAGCAGCGTAAGAACACACTGTTTTGATTGGTTAAGTCCAAGTCCATTGGAATGTTGTCTTGAAGCGCTCTGTTCATGTAAGGAAACCCTCAGATGTCTTTGGCGTGAAGCAGTTGTTTAAGGAAACATTTCTAAAAGCCAAAGCAAGAGACAAATCGGTTAAAAAACCCATCAAGTTGGAGACGTTGCGACTCGAGGAGTTACTGCATTTGCGGGTTCACAGATTTGTTCATGGATATCTTCTCGGGGGGACATTTTCTGCTGGAGTATTTTTTTTAATTACAAACCAGTTAAATCCAAATATATCATATCTTTAATAAGGATATTTATTCTTTCATTAAGACTTTTTCATGATGATGTAAGGACATTCAGTAGATGATTTGTAGCCGATGGTTAAGATCTTATTTTAAAAAATCATGTTAATCAAAGTGAACTGAAAGTTGAAGGATGAGTGTTAAGATCCTTAT